TCCTGTCCCGCAGCCCCCGGCCCCCGCAGCTACACCACACTGCGTGATGAGGCTGTGAAGCTCTTCAACTCGCTGCAGCAGCTGGAGTCGGAGCGAGACCCGGTGCCGCTGATGCAGGGCGTCCTGCAGACCTGCCTGGACCTGCCACCACTGGTGGATGAGATCTACTGCCAGCTGGTGAAGCAGACCACGGAGCCGCCGGCGCCGGGCGGGCAGGGCGACCTGCACTACTGGCAACTCCTCACCTGCATGAGCTGCACCTTCCTGCCCTCCCCGCCTGTCCTGCGCTTCCTGCACTTCCACCTGGACAAGTGAGTGCCAGGGGTGCCTCAGCTGCAGGCAGAGAGCTTGTCAGGTTGCCAGACCCCCTTGGGTCAGTGCCATCCTGACCCTCCTGGTGTTTCTTGCAGGACTGAGAGCCGTTTCCCTGCTTCGGAGATGGCCAAGTATGCCTGCTTCATCCGGGAGGCACTGGGAAAGACAAAGGGGCGGGAGTGTGTGCCTTCCCTGGAGGAGATCCTGATGCTGATGCAGCGGCAGGACATGATCTGCACCGTTCACTGCCCCGGGGCGCCTGCCTGCAGCGTGGCCATCAGCTCCCACACCACAGCCGAGGAGGTGAGGGGTCACAGCCATGCCAGGCAGTGGGCTGGGGATGTTTTGGCATTCAGGGCTGGATGGGGCAGTGTGTCATGGGAAGTGAGCAGCTCCTGCAGGTCTCTCCCACCTGAGCCATGATGGAGAGGGACCAGGGGCTGCCTGCCTTTGCCCACCATGACCTGTTTGTGTCCTTTTGCAGCCCTGAGCGCCGTGGCCAGGGACACGTGGTCACCGTCGGTTGCCTTTGTCTCGCCCAGGTGGCCCAGGAGCTGGTGTCGCGCCTGGGGCTGTCCCAGAGCCCCAACCTCTTCGCGCTCTACGAGCAGTCCCGGCGGCGGGAGCAGCCGGTGGGCAGTGCCACATTGCTGGCTGATGTCCTCACGAGGTTTGAAAAGTAAATGTCCCACTCTGCTGCCTATGGGGAAAGGGATCAGGGAGCCACAGGCAGGAGGGGACTGTGTGGGGTGTCTTCACAAGCTAATGGAGCTGGTCATGTCTGCTGCAGCCTGGCCGGGGAGCAGCGTGAGCAGGACCCACCATGCCGGCTCTGCTTCAAACACTACGGCTTCCTGGACACGGACAATGTCCCACGGGACAGCCTGGAGTTCGCCCTTCTCTTCGAGCAGGTGAGTGCCACACTGGAATGGGGTGACTATGCCACGGTGGCCGTGCCATGCCGGCTCACCCCGTGCTCTTGCAGGCACACGAGATGGTGCTGCGGGGCTACGTGCCCACGTCGGAGGAGACGCTGCAGACGCTGGCAGCCCTGCGCCTGCAGAGCCTCAACAGCGACTTCTC